AAAAAAAAAAAAAAAACAAGAGGGGAAAGTTACAAATTACCCTGATTGTACAAGCGTGTCGCCACGACGTCGAAAGGCTGCATGGTCAAGGCCACGCAACTTCCTCCAAGCAGAGATGCAACGAAAGTCAAGAGTATCGGTTTTTGGTCGAATATCTGAAGGAAAAAAAAAAAAAAAAAAGTTGTACGAAAGAAAAAAAATAAACTATACAGATACGTCATCGTGTCAACGCACTTCCATTGGTTTGAGCCAGTCCAAATGACTTTTCCATTTTTGCAAGAGTGGATAAACTCCTACTCTTTCCTCGTGTTTGCCACGTGCATTTTGGTTTTGGTGCTGTTTAGCAGGTAAAATACTTACCTTCACTGTATTATCTACTTACATTCTATACAATTTTTTAAATCCTTTTTTAATACATATTATTTATACGATTTCGAAATGTTCTAAAACAGTTTATATTTCAAAAACTAGAGTTATAAATTTTGTTCTATAAAGTATGATCAAAACTGATTAAAAACAATATTCACGGTGCATTTCCAGAAAATACTTGCCAGAAACGCGAGGCAAAACAACGACTGAAATTGCAGCATCAGTCAGCCAAGGACTCAAATCACGTCCACTCGAAGGTCCTGCTTCAAACGTAACATAAGTAGACAATAATATATTTTTTTTAACTTATAAATACTGTTTACAAAACTTTGGTGCTGGATTTTAAAGTTAAGTCGGTGGACAGTATCCTAAAAAAGTATTTGAATTACAGTACTTATATGCTCGAGTCGCTAGTATAAGAGACTGGATAAGCAATTTGTTCACCTTGGTAATTCTATAGGTTTTTTTTATGAATTTTTCACTGTTTGGATGATTCTTTTTTCTTCTTATTTTCTTTTTATTACACGACGAGAGTAGAGAAGAAATTTTTTTCAAGCTTCAGGTTATACATGTCGTTATAAAAATCAATTGTGTCTCTCTACAATGTTGCCTTTTTTTTTTTTTTTTTTTTTTTTTTAAGAAAAAATGTCAGCATTGCACATTTTGTGATTTTTAATGCACATCCAAAGAAAGTTGAATATACATATCTCAAGCAAAAAGTTTTACGATTTGCTGTCATAGTCTCTCTCATGCTAAGTCATATACGTTAATGAATTAAGAAACTTGTGAGTTCTTTAAACTATTTGTTGTGTACTATGTGCAGAATTTGCTTGTACACCTCTCGTCTTGTTGCGGTAACATTTATCCAATAATTTTTTTGTACATAGATATACCATTATTCTTTTGGTTGTGAAAATATTGTATAACTGAAATTCTACTGCACGACAGCCGTTCAATCTATTATTTAAAAATGTTTTAACATAAGAGGAAAAAATGTATAAATGGTAATAGTTAACACACTACGCAAAATTTTCATTTTTTGGAAAATACGACGCAGTAACATAAATATGTTCCAAGCTATGTCTAACTGTTGCATTGCGTTAGCTATACGTATTGGCTACTAAAAAATTTTTATGAAAATTCATTTGAATATAGGTTAATTTAATCTTGTTAAATATTTTAACAAAAAATATTTTATCTGAGTACGTTGCTAGCGTGCGTTTTCTTTGACTTTAATTTATTTTATTATGAGAAATCATCATTATTTGGAGTAATTGAAATCGTTATGCCGAAAATATCAATCGACTCGACAATTACTGCCAAATTTTCATACATTACGTAATTGTTGAACTTGATTTTATTATAAAGTACAACTTATTTTTATACCTCATATTTATGTAATGTATGCACAAACTAATATCGTGACTAACTCAGAAAGGATGAATATATTTTATACGTTAATGACAAAGACGGTGTTGACAATTTTTATAAGCAAACCCTTCTATTTAATAATAATGATCTATTTTCTCATTCGATTCTTCCAAAAATCAGCATTCACATTTCACGATATCATCCATCTACCATACAGATGTCATTTCATTATTGTATATATGTCCAACCAACTTTTAATACTATTCGGAATGATGAAAAAAGAAAAAAAGAAATTTTTTTCCAACATTAGATTTATTAAAAAATAGTTTAACACGCATTATAATATATTTTTTTTTTTTGTTCAACAACCAACAGATTGTTTATTACGAAAATAAACTAATCTAGGATGCACTTTTAGAAAAACAGCATAATCTCATACGATCTATTTAATAAATTGTACTGTTGATACATGATGAAACAATAGACTCTGGCAGCTTTCTCGCAGAGAAAAGTTGGGTGCCAATAAGACCTTATACTACGAGTCAATGACTCTGAAGGACCCTTTAACAATACAACATTTACACGGTGCACCGACAAAGTGATCTACGCTTAAGAAAATCACATGCATGTATGAAACATTCACGCCTTCATCTGTTACGTAGCGTCAAACTTTCGTATTAATTGTAATTAGCATACAGCCTGGCTAATTTTTCATAAAACACCAAACAAAGAACAGTGTGCGGAGCTATGCGGAAGAATGTCGGCGATATGCCCTGAAAAAGAATAAAGTTTTTATATAATGTATGTGTGAACAGGAAAAAAAAAATTAATTTTATAATAAATAAAATCGCCCGTTTACTTTGTACAATCCGGTTAGTCCCTCGGCTTTGAACACCTTGTTAAGCGCGTCGAACAGTCCATCGTAGAGAACTCCTTTGCCTTTTCCATTCGTGCCTGAAAATATTATCATTTAAAAACAACTTTACACAAATTTAGGCGCTCATCATCAAGAAGAGCAAAATATAAAATAAAAAAAAAAAAAAAACAAGAGGGGAAAGTTACAAATTACCCTGATTGTACAAGCGTGTCGCCACGACGTCGAAAGGCTGCATGGTCAAGGCCACGCAACTTCCTCCAAGCAGAGATGCAACGAAAGTCAAGAGTATCGGTTTTTGGTCGAATATCTGAAGGAAAAAAAAAAAAAAAAAGTTGTACGAAAGAAAAAAAATAAACTATACAGATACGTCATCGTGTCAACGCACTTCCATTGGTTTGAGCCAGTCCAAGAAGAGACTGAAGGTGGTCAATTGAGTTGCGGAGCCAACGAAAACTCGAGGTATGTTGGCGTACCATCCGCGGTAGAGACCAGAAAAGCCACCCTCCCTCCAGAGGTGGCGAAACGCGTCAATCGTACCCGACGCGTACTCGTGCTGGGTGCCCACCGCAATGCTCTTCGACGACTTTGACTGCAGCACCGTTTTCACCTGATAGCCAATTCGAGCCAATTATAATTGGGTACCTATGGGGTATAGGTGAAAAAAAAAAAAAATTGTGCCTCACCAAATACAGGGGACTTCCGAGAACTGCACCGGCGCAACCAGCGACTCCGGAGACCAGAGCCGTGCTGAGGATGTTGGTATCGCCCTTGTCGTTGACCGTCAGCTCGTACCTCCTAGCCAAATTGTACGAGCCCAAACGCATGCCGTTCAGGACAACTTGAAATCCCAGAGCCGTGACCAGGCCTCGCTGTAGGGCGAGCAAGCCCTCGATCCTGGCTATGGTGTAAGCCGCGTGGAACGTGTTCCGATAAATTTTCTTGTAACTGCCCCGCGACTCGAGCTCGCCTTGCAATTGCAGCCGTATCTTGACCACGTCTATGGGATTCGTGAAAAAACCGGCGCCCACCGCCGCGGCTGCTCCTATGACGAACTCGACACCTGGTCTATATATACACGGTGCGCGTGCAATTAGTTTTTTCTTTATTTCAAATATTCATACAAATTTAATATCGTTGCCTGTAGAAAAAAAACATCCAACAAAATTATCCTTCCTATATTTTCACCCCATGAACAATCTGTTTTCAACAAGTTGGCACGATGATAAATTAATATCAACCGATTGGATTTTTACGCGTTTTTAATAAAAACTCGAGAAGATATGTTATTACGAGCTCCGGTGGGAAAAAAAACACCTTAATCTTTTCATTGCGCCTGAAAAAAAAAAAAAAAATACGTGGCGTGTTGTTGACTTTTCAGATAAGATACGTTATNTTCTTTATATATCTATGTATGTACATATATTGTATAGGTACAGTCGACGTGGACTTTTATTAATTGAAGTGGGACTGACCCTGGATGTCTAATCAATTAGATAATTTATTGAAAAATTTTACTGGAAAGTCGTAAAATAGCAGTTAAATAATTCGTACGGCCAATTGATTTCGCGGAATTTGCCGAGCGAAATACCGAAAAACGTGAAACCTATCGCGATCCTTGTAATTTTTCGGATGAAATCACGACTATAGTCTCTGATATTTAAATGTAATCTTAGGAGATAAACATCTTTTTTTTCTCTCTCTCTCTCTCTCTATCCCCGCCGGCTTCTAAAATGCACGTGACACACATATACACATGCACCCAAGGCCTTTACGTAATCCCATACACTTTTATTCCGCGAAAAATCGATTGGTCACGGTACACACGCGTACACCGTTTGCTTGGCAGGAGCTTGAATTCGCTATAGGCTAACTTGTTTCACAGTGGCGACAGCACTGCCAAGAGATCGTATTTTCACGACGATTTTACCAATCACGCGAACCGACCTGATCTTCAAAATTGAAACTCTATCTTTTTTTTTTTTTTTTTTTTTTTGGTGCGGGAGTAAATAAGTATAGGAAAAATAAAAGTACAAACAGTGGGTAGGTACACAATTAACTCACGTTTTGTCGCTGGTGAGCACGCGATGCTTGCCGCTGCTATCGGCCATTATTGCCGATTTTCCAGTGTATCCCTCTCGTTTTCTTTATTTCATTTATCCGCAGCATGAGAATAATTTTGGCTGCGCGCGAGCTCGCTGCCTTCTACTTACTTATTGTCCACATATATGTACGAGCGCCTTAGCAGATAACGATTGCCGTACACGGAAACGCTCCCCTCCACTGTGACGACAGACAAATTTCGTGTACATTATCTCGCGCGCTTGTCCGTGTGTACATGTATGTTTGCTTTTGACTGTGCGGAGTCGATGACCACAATGTCGGGTTATGATTGATGACATTGAGGGGAGCATTGATCGGTTTTGGTGTCAACTTTGGACGAAATCGAAGAAAAATGAGTCAAATGTCGGTTTACCTAGTTTATTTATCAAATTATATATGTATATATATATATATATCATCTTCTATCCTCTTAATCGTCTTACATCTAAATAAAGATTTGCCAGTTAACGCGAAAGTCACATCAAGCATTGCATCGGATAAGTTGACGTGTTTGTTTTTGTTTTTTTTTTTTGTTTTTTTTTTTTTTCAATTTAGAGCTAATTAACTTTTTTGTCATAAATTTTTACGTGAAAATATAGTACATAACAAAAATTCTGTGCAATTGAAAACAATATACATTTTTTAATTTTTTTACAATAAAATAAAAGGAAAAATTAAATCAAAATACTCGTATCGTCAAACTTTCGTATTAATTGTAATTAGCATACAGCCTGGCTAATTTTTCATAAAACACCAAACAAAGAACAGTGTGCGGAGCTATGCGGAAGAATGTCGGCGATATGCCCTGAAAAAGAATANTAATTTTTTTACAATAAAATAAAAGGAAAAATTAAATCAAAATACTCGTATCGTTGTATTGCTTGCGTGTATCACATACTGTTTTTCACGTACTTGAACAAATTAACATGTGTGACTGATACGCCTTACCGATTAGTTGTAACAACGTTTGTAACAGAGACTGAACGTTTTTCTCTAGTTAAACCTAGAGAAAAACCATCCGTTAGGCACTACTGTATAGAGTCGTTTATTTGTTGATTGTTTTCACTATGAACAGTTTCACAACTCTTGGGTGGAAAATTGTGTCATCCGTGAGCTTCGGTTTCAAGTCACGCAGTCGCATAAATTTGGTCGTAAAGTTGAGACAGATTTTCATAGAACACTTGGCACAGAACCACGTGAGGCGCGCTCCGGAACAGAGTTGGAGTTATTCCTGTTGAACCAAGGAGTTTTCATTGCAAAAAGGTAGAAAATCATTCGTTTTTTTGCTGTTCAAACTTTATTTTACACGTGACACAATATTTTAACGACAAATATTTTGTAAAACACGAGCATTCTTGCAATGATGAAATAATAAAATAAAACAAACAACAACGTATCTGTGGAATAATGTTTAAACAGCAAAAACTCGGGATACTGTTGGTATGATGGTAGGTATGTTCAATATAGCCTAATAAAGAAAAAGAAAAAAAACACAATTACCTTTGTACAAGCCAAAAAAGCCTTCTACCGTGAAAACTTTGTACAACGCGTCGAACAACCCGTTGTAATTAACACCCTTTCCCTTGACATCCGTTCCTAAAAACAAGCAAGTACAAGAAAACACGTCCCCGTGCAATCGAACAACTTTTTTTTTAAGTTGACGAACCTTGATTGTACAGTCTCGTCGATATAACGTCGAAGGGCTGCATGACCACTCCCAAGCAACAACCGCTGATTAACGAGCCGACAAAGGTCAACAGTAGCGGCTTGTCCTTGAACGCCTGCGTAACCCGTGAATTTATTTTATTTTTTTTCTTTAAATTAAGTCATACCAAATTCCCTTTTTTTAGTCGTTATTATTTTTTTGTTTCAACCAATAAAATTTGCAAATAATAAATGTGTTATACACACGTCGTAAGGCTTGAGCCAGTCTGTGACGATGCCAAACACCGTGAGCTGAGTAGCCGAGCCGATGAAGGTTTTTGGCAAATTAGCGTACCAGCCCCTGTACAGGCCGAAAAAACCGTGCATCCTCCACAGATGCCGAAAAGCTGGGATCATGCCGCTTTTGGTCGACTGCGACTGCAGCTGCGTCTTTACCTGTACAAGTACGAGCCATTGCAACCCCCATTGTGCTTAATTTTAATTTTTTTTTTTTTTAAACCAAATCAACACTTTGGGGAAAAGAAAGCGCCATAATCGCGAAGATTCTGCTTCGTGCGTCAAGTTAAAAAAAATGTCAGGTCTACCTTTACATTTTTTTGTTGCATTTTGAACAAAGTTTGAACACATTATGACGGCGCTTTCTCAATTTTTTTTTTTTTTTCATCCTCCAAGCATCAGGACGTGCATACATGTAAAAACTTACCAAGTAAAACGGACTACCGATCACTGCGCCGGTTATGCCGGCGAAACCGGACACGAGTGCCGTTTTGCCGATGCTCGTCTCGCCCTTTTCGTTGAGAATGATACCGTAACGTTTGGCCCAGTGATACGTGCCTATATATTATGCACAACAGGTATTTATTGTTTTTTTTTTTTTTTTTCCAGCAACCACAGAGAAAAAAGATGCAAGTACAGGTTGCATAAATGTACAACCTATTATACCTACCCAATCTCGTGCCGTTCAAAAAGACCTGGAAGACGAGAGCGGGCATCAGGCCCAATTGCAGGGCCAAAACGCCTTCCGTGCGAGCGATGATGTAAAAAGCGTGCAACGTGTTGCGATAGACCTTCGGGTAAGGACCTCGTATGAGCTCCCCTTGGAGTTGCATTCTGATTTTTATGACGTCGACGGGATTGGTGAAGCAGCCGGCTCCCACCCCCGACAACGCGGCGAACGCGAATTCTATGCCCGGTCTGTTGAGCATCAATTTTTTTTTTTTTTTTTTTTTTCATCTCTTTTTTTAATCGCTAATGGTATTGTAATTGTTTAAAGCCAGATTTATTTTCTACTCTATTTTGTAAGAAAAAAAAAAAAAAAAAAAAAGCAATAGTTCGGTACAGTTGGAAGAAAAAAAAACGCTTGGAATAAAATAAAAGAGCAAGTGATGTATAGCGCGCAGCGCAGATGACGCGGAAGACCTACACGTTAGCTCATTGGCAACGGCTTAATTATTTAACTACATTGAACATTTTTATATGCACCAGAGGAATGCTAATAAACCAGCGCGAGGTTGTATCCAATGTTTATCTTTTTTTTTTTTGTTGCTCTGAATATGCCATGCCGATGGCTGTAAGTATTAGTCTCATGTATATTACTATACATCTGTACGTACATCCAGCCTAGCTGAGGTGACCGACTACTTGTACACATATATATTATATATTTAGCAGTTCGTTTTGTCAACAAGAATCACCTTCAAATGACAGGTGCCTCGGTAAGTTGTACTCAACCGTTTCGACGATGATAGTAATAATAATAATAATAATAATAATATAAGGGTGCGTTTATATATATGGAGTCTACAAACTGGATAGACTCGCCCGTCACACAGCCCGTAAGAGCGAGAGAGACGGACACGCGCGATCCGAGCTTTTCTTTCCTTCTCGCTCTTACGCGCGTCTCTGCATGCATCTATAAACGCATCCTCGTATACGAGTGCAAATATGCAACTCATTTTTTGACAGTATAAATACCCACGAAACCTCGAGATCGATGACGACAGCAGTAAGTAAAGCAATAAATGTGGAAAGTTGGATTTGAGATAAAAGCTTGCAAGCTCCCCGTGATAATATATGAATTTACGTAATCATCAACGGAAACCTTTTAAAAGGCTTTGATTTTTTTTTTAATTTCAAAGATGCAAAACCAATGAAAATAAACAATGAAATCGGCACAATTTGATTAACATGTCTTACGGTCTGTCGGCGTTTGAATCATGAATGACCGGCATTCTGATGCGAGCACTTAAATTGGGTCGCGACAATAGCTATCTCGATGTAGTTTGACATCTGCGATGCACTTCTTCTGTTGCTGCTGCTGGTGCATGTTCATCCGCTCGGTATTGCTTGTTGTACTGATACGCCGACATGCACTTTAGAAAATGTAATCACCGCTGCATTCTCATCGTCGTGCGAGGGTATGTACTTAAGATTACTCACGTGTACTTGAATTTTTTTTTCTATAAAACTTGCGAGTCGGTATACCTCAATGGCACAGAACGATAAGCGCACGCGTGAAGCTTGGAGCTACTGAAGTCTGAAGCTGATGGCAAATATATATTTCTAATGTCCTATGCACCTTATGCGGCTGCGCTAGATCCCCAGATTGTCGGCGAGTCGGTCGTCGGATAACGTGTCTATTTAATTACAAAAATTCGCATACAGGTAATAGATATGGGCGATTCTCGCCAACTGCGGGAAATAAGTTATTTATCAAACTACTAGCAGAGAAGAACTGCAACCGTATAAATATTTTAAAGAAATAAGAAAAAAAAAACGAAAAGGGATCACATCAATAAAATTTTTGTTTCTTTTTTTTTACACTGTTTTTTAATAAAAGAGTTAATATTTACAAGTGTTGGATGTCAATAGAGAATTTTGACATCCCTGTAGAAACTATCGACGCAATATCTTACTGGCGCTCTGAAAAACGTGCTCCTTGTGGAATATTAAAAAAGAGATCTGCTTAATGCTTCGAATAGTTCTCGTGTTGATTATTGTTTCCTTGCAATTATGTTCGTATCGATCCGTTTTGCGAGCGCTTTGACCAGAGCATTTATTATTAAACTGCACCAATATTGTGCACGCTTATTGTGCCTTCCCAAAAATGTAATATTTATTCTCCTAGATACTAGTAAATGCGTATTCTTTATTGTAGAAATAAAGAAAATCTAGGATAGGGTTAGTCTCAGACGTATGGCGAACCCAACTTCTTCATCACATTTAGTCCTTTTTCTTCGTACTCTTCTCGCAGTACCCAGTGATCGTCTCTGTCTTTGGAAATTTCAGCTAGTACCGCTCCCCCTATAAACACCATGTCTTTTCTTCGGGGTGAGTCTTCAATTTTTATCTTAAATTTCTGCAAAAACCAACATCATAATATTAGGTGCAAACGAATCTTTGGGCTACACCACACAATCGTCAAATAATTTACATAGTACTTACATTCAACTTTGAAATATCATTCTTTAATACTCGTTGCAAATAAAGTTGCTTTATTTCTCGCTCGAGCCTCGACGGTAAACCGGGATACATGGTACTGCCTCCGCTAAGTACTATGTGCTTGTACAATTCACTACGCATGTCGATATCGGCGGACTGAATCGTGTCAAATACAAGTTCGGCAATGCCTTGAGCCTCAACGTTAATTAAATGCGGCTGAAATAATGCTTCTGGCGCTGAGAACCTCTCTCCACCAACTTTTATTACGCGGCCGTCAGGTAACTGTAAAAATATTCATTGTTTAAAAAATGTTTCGAGGATAGATCTATATGTAAAAAAAAAAAATCCAAAAGAATCCAACAGTAATAAAACTTAATAATTATACTGTAGGTTTCATATCTATTAGAGTTCCTTGAAGCTTATAAAATTAATTACCGTGTAAGATTCCACAAGAACGGTTGTCTCAAGTGCAAGCTTCTCCTCGGTTTCAATGTCATACCCTACATAGCAGAGCTTTTCTTTAATCATTCTGACAGTCTCAAAATCTGCAGAATGGTTGAATGCATAGCCGCGCTGCATGAGCAGCTTTATGAGATACATCGTGATATCACGACCGGCAATGTCTAACCTTCGCGTAAGATGAGGCAAGGCGTATTCCTCGTAAACTGGACATATGTGAGTCACACCGTCGCCAGAGTCCACAACGACTCCACTAATTAAACCTTGAGCGTAAAGCGTCAGTACAGCCTGAATTGCAATATATGTCCCAGCGAATTGATACTTTTCAAACATTACCTAAAATCAATAGCAACATTGTACTGTACATATTGCAACGATAATCGTAATGAAGAAATATTTAATGATGATTGTAATGGGCAAAGTTTAAAATGATTCTTAGATGCATCTTGATTATCGTTGTGTTCATACTTCAATCATTTTTTTTCTATTTGTTATGGGATTCATTGGCGGTTCTGTCAAAAGAATTTTACACTCCCTGGGATTGATATTCATCTTTTCCGGACCAAAGGTGTAATCCCACACATGGCACATATCTTCCCAATTTCTGTATTATATAAAAAACCGAAAAGAAATATTTTTTATATTATTTAACTCGAAAAACTAAAATTAGTGTTTATAAAAAATTTCAACTACCTAACAATACCATTTTGCATTGGATAACTGATTTCCAGCATAGACCGTAATTTACTAGCTTCCTCGCCAACCATAAGATCCTGCAGAAAAATGTTTGGACGATTATCACACTCATAATGTAAGAAAAAGAATGCAAAGATTCTATACAAACAAAAATTTTGCAAACAATACAACACATGATTTAATGATAAAGAATATCTATGAGAAAAAAACAAAGGCTTAAAATGGACATTAACGTAAGTATATGTTCAGACAAAGAAACAAAATGTTCAAAAAGAAAATCAAGGATTAAGCTATAAAAGACTACAACCAACGACAAAAAGTGCGTTTTTAATTGTTTTTAGACTTACAGGCATCTCAAGCACATCCTAGCAGAAGATATAATAGGCAAGCATACGCAAACATATAAAAAAAAGTTTATTATTACTATTAGGCACGCTCAAAATGAGATAACTTACAGGACTACACATGTTCTGGCGGTTATTATTCATTTGTTAAGGGTTGTGCGTTAGTTCTTCTCGCGATAATTGGTAATTTTTTCTTTTTCTTTTTTTTTTTTTTTTTTTTTTTTTTAAAAAAAATTTTTTTTTTTTTTTTTTTTTTTTTTTTAGCAACATACCAAGCGCACGAGCGCAAACTAAAGCTTTTTTTCTGTAAAATAATTGCGACTCCAAACGACAGATTATTTATGAAGGTATTAGTTAAATGGTCAAACTTTTTTGGACAAAGATTATCATAATTTCACTGTCTCCTTATTTTATATATGTTTTAGCTTGCAAACGTGATATATTACATCGCTATGGTTATTTTTTTGGTCAAAATAACAGAGTAATTCTGATCAGTGCTAGTGTTGCGTCAAATATAAGACTCCAGAAATTGACTTACGCGGACACAAAGTTCTTGCTGAAAATACATACAACAACGTGATTAGGCTTTCATAAGTGCTTGCAATTATTGTGCGAATCCCAGAACGCGCTGAGATTCTTTTTTTTTTTTTTAGAAATGTCGTAGACTTGTGAAGGAAACGAGTCATGTAGGACTTAGTTCCTTTATTGTACTGTCATCGATAAAATAATATACAATTAATGTCTTACCTTGACATCGATGTCCCCAATTTTGTTGGTAGCTCGGATGATGGGTCGTCCCACTATGGATGGAAATATATATGCTGGAAAATTGGATCCCGCATAGCCGCACTTGACAAACTGAAAAACATTACTTTAAATCTTCTAAATTTTAAAAATTTACTGAGTTTACTATTATAAAACGTGCACTCTTTTGATATATTGAATTCTACAGATATGATTGTTTATACTCGTGAGCCATTATAGATAAAGAAATATGACACTCGCAGACGTTATCAACGAAACTATTAATCCCTAAATATGAACACTTTTATCCAAAATATTTCACAAAATTTAATAAAAATAAATCATTTACTCAAAAATTCGATCAAATATAAAATTAAATCCACCATAAAGAAATATCGTCGCCCAAAACTCTTAACTCGATGATAAAAACATGAGTCATATCGGAAATCGGAGTACAAAAAAAAAAAAATAAATAAAACCATCAAACATAACCTTACCCCCGTTCCATTGTCACAGACGATGACTTTCCTGCCCTTGCTGTCCATTATTGCACTTCAACTCCCGATCAATCTTTACACAAACTAAGGATTATATCCACAACAACTCCTCAACTTGACAGTTTCAGTTAAACCCCTTGGCAGCTTATAATCTATTACGAAAATGGGCGTCGCCGACACACAGCATAGCCTCCTCCGTCTCGTCCACTACAATATAAATATTGTTACCACCTATAAGAGTACGACTAATTTTATAGTTTGATATAACTGCTACAATTTGTATGACGCTACACTACCTAAATGTTATAATTTAACGACAAAGTACCTTCTCCTCTCGGAGTATCACAAATTTACACTGTTGATGGTGACGTATACGACGACGGAACTAAACAGCGTCTTGCAGACATATATGTATGACTATATGTATAGCCGCAAAGCATACCATATACCATCTCATCTCTCGGTCTCTCTGTAAAAGTGTAAGTAAGTGTAGAACCATTTTTATTTTCGTTTTTTTCATTACTCACGCATTGACAGTGCGATACTTATTGTGAGTGGTTCAACCTTATCAAAAATTATTGAAAAGATAAGTTATACGCGAGCATCGTTCCACAGCGTACTCACCTTTTTTGTGAATGATTCAGTTGTCGGCAGTTGCAGCCGCGGATCGCTGCTAAAATCGCTACGTCAAAAACACATTAAGATTAATCATGCTGTAAAAATGGTAAATATTTTATACTTACTGCCGGTGTTCGAGTTAGCTGATAAAATGTACAGGGGTTTCTTTAGTTATTTATACATTTTTAATTGAGAAAGTAAATGAGATATAAGTGTAGACAAAAGTAACGTAACAAAAGGCATCGTTTATTTACTTTTTTCTCTCTTCGTAACAAGAAAAAAAGGCGACGTTCTAACACATAGCAAACATTAACTTTTGGAATACATACATAAGGTTTTTTTTTTTTTTTTTTTTTTCTAATCACAATTGTACTTATGTGGATAACAGGCGCTCATCTTGTGAGGCGCGCGAATAAAGAGTTTTTAGCATTGAATCGCGTAATTAAATTTATTATTTTTTTTGTACGATTGTTAATAATCAATATCGTGGTATTCTTACGACATCCTATTTTACACACATTTAATACAGGGTAGTTTTTAAAATATCTCTTTATTTTTTTCTTTGCGTTTATCCTGTACCTTGAAATGTATATATATAACTTTGAAGAAATAGTCTACTCGACCTTTACAAATGTATGTACATTTATAATTTATCTCCCAATTAAATTAAATAAACTAAAATCAAAGTATATACTAATCGTACGAGATAACAAATTACCTTTCAATCGTAAATAAGTTAATAACAATGTTAATCAGTCTTATGAGACTTTTTCACTATTTAACTTATAAAAACAAAAAAAAATCATTACAAGTTCAAATAGTAAAAAAATATATATGTCGTACTCCACTATAACATACATATAATATGCCATCAACGAAAAGTAAGTAACGGTAGTTTTCAGCTGTTATGATACTTTTGAAAATGTGTGCTCTTCTTGTACACATATAATTATATGCAGTAAGATTTAAAAAAAATCCCAGATGGCTACTTTTCGAAAACTGAATGTATAAGTCTTACATATTATGTAATACATTATACGGTTCACCGAAAATTAGTACAGCCTACAATAGTTATAATAATCCAAGCAACAGCGATCTTTCAACTTCTCCCTCCTCATCCATCTTCGAGAGCTTACAAAAGCTTAATGTTTCTACACTTGTGTCGATTCTTTATATCGTTGTTAGTTTCCTTATCTGACAAAGGCAGTGATTCAGTCAAAACATTATTGATTTTTTGTTCATCAGTTTCTGTCAAGGCATATTTATTTATTTATTTTTTTATTTATTTATTTTTTTTTTTCTGGTGTTTCAGTAATGAAACGAAGATACGAAAATGGGCACCGATTGGTTAACTACTTTTTTTTAAAACTATCCGTTCTAAAAATACACCCAAACATACTCCACATTTTCCGTTTCCTTTGCCGTGTCAAACAACTCGCGTTCCTTTTATCAATTGAATCAAAGCTGTAAGTAGCGGAAAAGACAATGAAAGCTCATCATATACTTCATATAAAGTATGCGGATAAAAGAAATTGCAGTTTTGCCGTAGGAATTTTTCCAAAAACACTCCGCTTACTCTATTCCAAACGTATTAGTTTCCTCGACCGCCAGAAGCAGTTTTTCGTAGAGAACTTCCGGCGTTGGATACGGCGGCAAATCCAATCTATTGAAGCACGTGTGCGCTCTGAAGGGAAAAAGAAAAAAATTGACCAATCCGTCACACCTGACCATGTACACATTAAGCAGTCATTATTCGTATCATATCATATAATACCTGGGTAAACTGTTTGGCCTGCCCCACTTTTCGATGCAGAATTTCCTGGGCCCGGTGGAGCCCCTCAGCGCCGCAAAGCCCTCGTACGGTATGCTCGAAGTCCCAGTGACGAACTGCAACAGCCGCAGCCTCTGCTCGTTCGTGAAGCGACTTATGCTGCTCCAGAACCACTCGATGACCGGGTGTGCGTCGTGATAGCCACTGCGGTACTCTGTGTGAGCTCGCCAGTCGTTGAGGTCTATTTCCGCGGCCCCGGCGATCACGAGCTCGAGCTCGCGGGCGTCGAAGACCGACACCAGCCGAGGATCCACGACCTCGTAGAAACCTCGGACCAAGGACTCGGTTTGCTCGGCGACGCCGCGCTCGAGCCTCCAGCGTAGTATGCGCTCCAGGTACTCCTTCTTGTTCTTCTCTGTAACCGAGATGTTCCGTCCGCCGGGCTTCAACTCACGCTCAGCGACTCTACCTGTGCAATGTACAGATGTACACACGTAAAGCGTGAAATTCAATCAGATTTTCAAAAAGCAACAAATATACGTAGGTATAATATGTGCGCCCTGTAGTACCCAAGAGCTCCTCCGTGACGGAAAAGGTGAGCTCGAGGGGCTCGATGCTTATGTCCTTCTCCTTGATCCACATCAAGCTCTGGTGAAACTCCTGGTCCAGGCTCTCGAGGTCGCTCAAGCTGGCGGGTATACGCAGCAGCGCCTTGTAGAACGGCCGCGTGAAGAAGGCGTCGAGTAGGTACTGGTGAACGAGCGCGAGGCCCAACACGCGACCCGAGAACCTGAACCAGTCGTGGTAATTGTCGACGAAGGCGGACATTGGCGAGACTTGGACGGTGTACGTGTCGTTGGCCGAGTACTCGAATAGCCCGTAGTACGGGTTGAAGAGCTCCCGCGACAGATGAAAGAAGAACTCGCGCGACGGACCCCCGTAGTCGAGGCCCTCCTCGCGATCGAATATCACGACCAGTTTGCCCTTTTGCAGATCCTTCTTCGACACGGCCATTATGTGGGTAAACGCGTCTTCCAGAAGGTGTTCGCGCCGAATGTGCAATCTGTACAACGGGGTGAATTAAGCTCACGGTGAATTAATACATACGCTGATTCAATATACATTCATTCCTTCCTCGCAGTGTACTCACTTCAACTTGCCGGGGCCCTGACCGTAGCCCTTGCTCTCGAGCTTGCGATAAAACGTGCGCAGCTTGGCCTCAAAGTCCCGCCTGTAGGGGGCCGGTGCTCTGGCGGACGCCCTCGCCAGACCCGGCGACGCGTGCGGACTGTTGAGCGGAGATCTGCCAACGTTACCGGTGAACGACATGATCTCTTGCTCGAACAAGCTGTACAAATACACGTTTATTGTGTGCATGTGTATATTATGTATACCAACCAGTTGTGAGTATACGTATTGGTGCCCGTCAATTGGATGTGCGTCCTTACCTCAAGAGCAGAGCCAGCGGTACGTCGTGGCCTAAGCGTTGGAGCGCGGCTGTGCCCTCGATGCGCACCGCGTTGACCTTTTCGCGTAGCGCGACGTTCTGACCGAGGCCCGCGTGCCTCTCCTTCAGTATGTCCATGATGTTGGGCTGGCGCAGAAAGGCGACGACCTTGTCGTTGTAGGCCACGGGTATGTCGGGCGCGCTCGTCGTCATCGATTGTTGGGGCCGGGGCGGAGGTATCGGCGCTTCGTCCGGTAATGTGCGCGGATGGGCGGCCTCCGTTGGTAATCGCGGATCGATGAACGACGTCGACTTTCGCATGTGGTTTATGAAGAAGCGCTGCAAATAAAGTCTCGTCGCATTACCAATAAGCGTTTGAAATTCTTCGTTTGATTCCAACGAAACGTGATGGTGGATAGCTTGAAATAACGAGTGTCATCATAGTCGCTTACCTTGCCGGTCCTGTCGAGCTTCGATTCGTAACCGGTTGGAAAATCTTTGCTCTGGTCGGCGAAGAAGTTGACGAGAGCCACGAGATCCCGATTGTGCTCGTACTTTGGAAAGACTCTGGGCTCGCGCCTGATTTTACTGATCATGTACTTGAGGCTCGTGTTTCTATTGTAACACTCCATGGCCTCGGTGTTTGTGTGAAGGACGGTGAAGAGGTCCGGCCTCGTGAGGAACTGCACCGCCGGCGTCCGAGTTATGTCGTACGCTTCGGGCTGTTGTTGCTGCTGCGACTGTTGTTGTTGTTGTTGTCCAGAGTGCAGTGACGAGCTCGAGCTGCTCGCTGGTTCGCGGTCAATGTTGTCCGGACGCGATATCGTTCGACGGACGCTCTGATAGCGCCGGTCCAAGTGCTGCAAGCGCACGTCGCAGCCAGCGTTTCGCGACGTTGAGCCTGTTTTTTTTTTTTTTTTTTGGTTGCGAAAAAATTAAATTAACAACAACAATAAAACATTGACTTGCGTGATAAGTATTGTTGAATGTAAAAAATGATTTTATTATTATGGAGGAGAAGAAATGTTGAAAAAAAAGCAAACATAAATCGTTAACTTAATTTAACAAGATGGTGCTCACGATTAAACAAGATTGCTTCCCCATCGCGCTAAAACTACCGATTAAAAATCGCTTTTTTTTTTTTGTCGTTGGACATATGCAGGTATCAAAGATTTTATTCACCTGGACGTTGCCACGTAGTTGTGCGGTTTATGTGGTCGATGTAGAAAACACGGCCGTGGCTGTCGATTCGTGCTTCCCAGGCTGAAAAATCGAAACATTCCAATTTTTTTTTTTTTTTTTTTTTTTTTTTTTTTATTAGTATACAAGTATTTCGTCTTAAAAGAAAAGAAAAAAAATTAGAGTGATTCCTTACACGAGGGCAGAGATTCTTCGGCCGTAGCGAGAGTAGGACACATGGGTAGCGGGCGCAGAGGTTTCGGCCGATGTGTCGGCGTGGGTGGACACTCCGATTGCGAATTACTCGACGAGGCCGATGTCTCCGGCCTCGACAGCGGACGGTGATGCGAACGAGGCGAACTCAGCAGCGCTATGCTCTTTGTCACTGCCGTGCGGGCCTGCATCACATTAAAAGGCCAAATATTGAGTACAATTATATGTACACGGACACCCGCGAAATGACTTATTTCACTGTAAATCCATCCCTTGACTCGGCTAACTTCGCGCTTGTCTAACGAAGAGTACAATTCATTGTAAAGTAAATAAAAATTGACCTCCAAATTGGCCGCCTCGTCGACGTCGACGATCTCGAAGTTGAAGCAGTCCTCCGGGCGCTGCATCGCCGGTAGCTTTTGGGCCTGACGTCTGAGTAGCTTGAACGGCACGTTCGTCCGATGCAAGGGCTTGTGCACCGCTCGAGGTGGCAGCGGAGGTGGATTCGGATACAGGGTGTGGTAAACCCCATCCGTGGACGAGGTGGACGAGACGCCCCCGGTGCTACGCCAGAGCTGGTAGTACTCGGCTCCCTCGCGGCCATGGCCGTTTGCCACCTCAGTCGCAGTCTAAAATCAAACGAAATTTTAAATACGCCCGAGGAAAGCCCCTTGGTCATTTCAAATCTGTTGTTCGAATCGTGCAAAGTAGTCTACAATAATGTAACATTCGTGTTTACCTTGTTTCTACGCTGATCGGTAGGTGGTTGCATTAGAGACTCGGCTGCACTAGAACTACTACTGCTGCTACTGCTGTTGCTGCTGCTGCTATTATTACTGATGCTGCTGCTGCTGCTGCTCTCCCCGGCAAACATGTCCGTGCCGATATTCTGATGTCCAACGGTGGGCAGATCGCGGCCCTCAAGCTCGGCTCTCTGCGCTTCGGCCGCTTCGTACAGGTTCACCAGACTGGGCAGCTTGAACGGCTTGTCGCAATTGACGAGAACGACATCGTCGTCGTCGTCGTCGTCGTCGTCGTCATCTTCGTCATCTTCGACGTTGTCGAAAGCCGTCGCTGCTCCCACCTCCGTAGCGCTCAACACCGGGGCTGGCACGGTTGTAGAGGCTGCGCCGGTGGCAGCTCTGTCATCCACACTTGGCTGCTGCCTCGGTCGGTGCTCCCTGTTGTCGCCCGACCTGTCTGTTGCCGTGGTTGAACTTGCTCCGCTGCTGCTTGCCGGTTGTTGCAAGTTGCCACCCAAGTCATTCTGGTGGTGCAAGTTGTTGGGCTCGGCGATGCATCTGGCCACGTGTTTCCGGTTGGGCTCGCTCTTGGGCAGCTGGGACACAATGTCCGGCAGCGACGTCTGCGTCGTGTTGTCCGTGGTGAAGTTACGGGCAGCCAAAGTGGAATCCCCGTAGATTAGCGTCTCGGGTGGCCCAGTGACGTTGTTCTCCGCGTCGTTCTCCTCGCTCCCCGTCGGCTCGTCGATTTCCACCACGACGGCCGAGCCCCGCTGGCTCAGGGACAACACCAACGGGGCGTTGTCCAAGTTCATTGCCTCGGCAACGTTGTTGTACGCATAATTGTCGTTTCTGGTCGTCGTGCCGGCGTCTTCGTTCGAGTCGTTGCTCTCCCCCTGTCTGCACACGTTGTCGTCCGTGGAGGCGCTGTTCGGGCTGGTCGTCCCCTCGCCGGTCCCCGATTCCCCGGTGCTCGTGGTTCCGTCATCTTGCTTCGACACCATGTCCACCGCGGCGTCTACTCCCGACGGCATTTCACGTTGGCCCACGGCATTTTTCTCCCCCGCCCCTGAACAATCCAAACCAATGTTTGTCACTTATATTCGCTGTCGACAAATCTATACACATGTATGATGATAAATAACTAACGCTAGTGCCGTTCGTGGGCGTCGTTGATCAATGCGCCAGATTTCGGGCCAAATTCTATTTTTATCGAGGAGGAAAAATATGATGATCAAAGCCGGCAAAGTGGAAGCATTTGACGTGACAATTGTACATTGTCCCCTAAAACGGTGGTGTTAAAACCCGAAAACATCGATATTGTGTAGGGTAAAGATTTTACTCAAAAATGTTTTTTTTTTTTTAATTGAACTTTGGCTTGAGGCGACATATTTAAACGCGCCCACTTTACTTAACAATTCTTTAGAAGCCAGAATTCAAAGGTATACGGAAGCTATCCGAACGGTACTATATAAACACCACCCCCTTGGGCAAACTGTTATTCAATTTCAGTGGACCGAATATACTTATATATGTGTTTTTGTGGTGAATTCGGCTCGTTTATACCAACTCGAGAGCAGCGCGAAAAAGTAACGATGCGACTCTCATTATACTTAAATAGCTGTATCTCTGAATCAGCAAAGAAAAATCAGATGTACTTATGCATAAGTAGTAATCAAATTCCAAATAAGTGAGACTCGACTCTACTTTGCAGCTATGACGATAAAACAAAAACTGCTGTCACGCCACAAGTGTACGAGCAAATACGTACAAATACATATGTGTATACACTTTTACTTGCCGATCGATAATCCGACGACAACATAAGCTACCAAAACTACTCATCCCAGCATGTTTGTGGTATTTGGGAACGAACGAGATTGTATCTATTGCCTGAAAAACAAAGAAATAATGATAAATCCATCTCTTTGGCAATGACAATACATGGGGTGTGTGAATAACGCGTTTTTACGCACACAATTTATTTACAACTGCGACTGTAAAACCGAGTATTATTAAAATTTACAGTGTAGAAGATGAAACGAAGCCAACGTACACGTACACTTTTATTCGGGGAAGGAAGAAAAGAAAAACACATGTATGCAGCGACAGCAGATGAGCTGCAAGCTGCACGAACATAATCATCATCATAAGCGTTATGGAGTAAAAAAGAAAAAAAAGAAAAATGTGTGCATGGATCAAGTTGGCTGTGGAGCAAGAGAGTATCCGACTGCAGGCGACACTGAGGCGGCTCTTTTTTTTTTTTAACGGAAATGCGACGTGATATTGTGATGAGGGTAAGGAAGGAAGGAAGAAAGGAAGTGAGCATCGCCTTGTATGGTTACGCGTGACATTGAAAATTAAACTTACCTCAATTGCACGTCCCCTTTTAAGAATCGTGCGTCTTTTATGCACATAAGTTGAAAAAATTCCTTTATTTTGTTTTTTTTTTTCATCTACTGGCACAGCACTGAGCTCATCAGCTGTTTATACGACAAGATCCACGTAGATAGTATAAATTCACACACATTACCGAGTATTTGTTTGACCACGACCGCGACCTTCTTGCCGTGTACGATTTTTTTTTTTTTTTTTTTTTTTTTTTTTTTTTTTTTTTTTTTTTTTTTTTTNGTAGTCCGCGTGAATTTTAGATTTGTCTATATACATTATCTTATCTTTATCGGGACTTGGTTCGTTGATTCGTGTAAACGTGACCGAAAAATCTAGATACGATGAAAATAACAATGGAATAGAAATTGAATAAAAAAAATATTTATTTAAATAAATATTAATGTCAATTAGTGAGGAAAGGAAAAAATACTACGGCGGTGTTGACAATAATGTTGGAAATAATAATTTTACTAGACAAATTATTGTCAAGATGGAGACGCGTAAAAGTTTAATTGCTCTTTCAAGTATCGTCGTTTGAAAAATCTTTAACGAGAATTTTAAACAACGAATACTCGACTTTACGACATCACATCCACAGCATCATTATACCAGAAAATGTATAATAATCAGATTCAAGAGCCCTTTTTTTTGTAATCGTAAAATTAAAATATACAATTGCAAAAATCATTTATTTAATTCCAAAATTATTATTTTTCATAACTGTGCTCGGTGAAATCGAGGATAAAAATTTTTTACTTCGATGGTCACGTTTTATAAAAAAGAAAAACCTATGCTATGAAATATCACACTCGTCGACAAGAGTATTTTTTACACGCGCTACCTACACAGGTAAGTATACGTGCATCTGTTGGCATGACGTTAGTTACGAAATTTCCACGTATACATTTTCAAAAACTACGCAGCTCCTGTTGAAGATATAAAAAAACAAACCAAAAAAAAAAAAAAAAAAAACCGATAGGCAAGTATGGGCAGGTGGTCAGCCTCGACCGTACAGTCATTGCTAACTTGTTCAAATTCTGTTTTATCGCGCAAATCCGATGATGTGTTATTTTTTCCTTTAGAGGAGAGCTAAAATGTAATAAACATTAACAAATAAAAGAAATAAAAGACAAGGGTTTGATCGCGTCACTTGTAGGATTCATCAACGACAGCTTGGGACACTGAGGTTCAATAAATAAATAAATATAGTCTCTAAACTATTAGTATTTGTTTTGTTTATTTCTTTGTTCTCAAGCGTCTTAAAGTGTGATTCTAGACATTGCCACTAATGTTTTAAACATCGTTTTACTATTTATAATATTTATTTATAAAACAAGAATTACCTACTTTTATCAATTATGTACCATTTCGAACCGTTATTGCATGGCTTAGTATATTTCTATGAATGTATTACATTTATCCAGGTCGTCTCGTCGCAAGAGAAAATATTGACCGATCCAAGCATTAAAAAAAAAAATCGGTAAGATAATGCCAGGGAACCTACAGAGAGAAAGAGATAAAAATGGACCCACTACTATTGGGCAGTGTTGACTCCCAAGCTAACTCCCCAATAACATCATTATCAACATAATCATCCATAAACAGGTTCACCGGTAAAATCACGCCACCGAGCGATCATCTCTTTCTGATACCCGTTTTTGTTATAATATATTTACCGTACACAAGAATATATATATATATTTCTGCTCGCAAATTATAGTCCACGTTACAATAGCACCTGTATATGATTACATATATTTCTCCCGTACGACGCACCGCGCTTCAATCGCGTTGCAAAATGCCTAATGAGGGTGAGAGAGAGAGAGTGAAAAAAGAAAAAAAGAAAACGAGGAAAACCGTGCGCTTCTGTGCACGCCTCGTACCAAGTGGGCATGCCATTTTCCGTACCGAATCGAGTTTAGCAACATATCGGGGAAGGAATGGAGGTCAGCCGGCTCTACTTGTACACCCGTTGCCTATTTATCTCGATATCGATATGCCCGTGTGCGCCTCGGCATAGAAGCGTAGCATACATACCTACTTATACGCGAGTGAAAGGCCAAAAGCAAAAGGGGGGAATAAAAAAAATAGAGTCCCCAAAGACTCCGCGAAAGCAGGACGAAAAGTCCTTGATGGCTGTGCTTTTAAAGAGGCACGTAATTATCATTTTAAACGGTTCTCCCGTTTGTGCGTGTATTATAAGGCACATAAATATACTCGTTCATTATATTATAAAATATGTACTTACCGGACGAAAAAGGACTTTTTTTACCTGTATTTCAACGCCATCGATGAATATTTCGTAACAATTACTGTTATTGTAAAAAACAAGCAAATGGAAAATAAGAATCTATACGTATAGCGGTACATTGTTTGTCGACCGAAAACTTTGAGATGTCGGAAGAGTATTATTGTTTCGCCAAAGTTTTCGATCGCTGAAAAAATTTCAAAGTACGATTTCAGACCTGTTGCATTGTTTTTCCTTGCAAAGCGTCACATGTGACTTGAACCGTTGTAAACAACAAAACGTCACGCGTGAACGAAAAAAAAAATTAATTCTTCGACGGCAAAGTGCGCGTACACCCGTGAGTCACCACTGCAGCTCAGGTCTGGTGATTGTGCGCGATATATCCACCTATGTATAATCGTTTTTTTTCTTTTATCAATAATTTATAGCTGAAACAAAGTTCCTTGACCATCAAAAGTCGTGAAAAACAATTGAAAAAAAAAAAAAAAAAGACGTGATGCACGCGCTCATTGGTGAAACGTATAATATACTATATAATACCTAGAAATTAACAAATTTATCTCGGCAAAAGTGAATGAGTCATCGAGTAAAAACACTTGGCAGAGAGACGCGCTCGTTTCGGCGGGGCACACACTCGATTGATAAACGTAAACAAAGAGCGCGAACTGCGCATGTATGTATATTTGGCAATTTCCTTTCTCAGATATATTAATATAATGGTATAATATAGAGGTATACGTACGCATATTCGCGTGCGGTGTGCTCTCGAGATAGTAAATAAACTTGGCGTGCCGTTTTAAAATTAGTAGTCCGCGTGAATTTTAGATTTGTCTATATACATTATCTTATCTTTATCGGGACTTGGTTCGTTGATTCGTGTAAACGTGACCGAAAAATCTAGATACGATGAAAATAACAATGGAATAGAAATTGAATAAAAAAAATATTTATTTAAATAAATATTAATGTCAATTAGTGAGGAAAGGAAAAAATACTACGGCGGTGTTGACAATAATGTTGGAAATAATAATTTTACTAGACAAATTATTGTCAAGATGGAGACGCGTAAAAGTTTAATTGCTCTTTCAAGTATCGTCGTTTGAAAAATCTTTAACGAGAATTTTAAACAACGAATACTCGACTTTACGACATCACATCCACAGCATCATTATACCAGAAAATGTATAATAATCAGATTCAAGAGCCCTTTTTTTTGTAATCGTAAAATTAAAATATACAATTGCAAAAATCATTTATTTAATTCCAAAATTATTATTTTTCATAACTGTGCTCGGTGAAATCGAGGATAAAAATTTTTTACTTCGATGGTCACGTTTTATAAAAAAGAAAAACCTATGCTATGAAATATCACACTCGTCGACAAGAGTATTTTTTACACGCGCTACCTACACAGGTAAGTATACGTGCATCTGTTGGCATGACGTTAGTTACGAAATTTCCACGTATACATTTTCAAAAACTACGCAGCTCCTGTTGAAGATATAAAAAAACAAACCAAAAAAAAAAAAAAAAATAATATTGCGCTTGATAATATTCTAATGAAGGAAAGGAAAAACGAGAGAAGTCAGTAAATAACGTGTGAATTGAAATGAAAGTTGTACATGCACCGATGTGTATTAATATACGGAATTGTGCTCGATTAACAAAATACAGTAAGGCCGAATTTACGTATACTATACAGCTGACGTGCGCGATGAGATGGTAATCAAGTAATCGGTCCTCTTTGAACATACGTATATGTATGGTAATAAACGAGGAGGAGGAGGTTGGCGAGTTTGCACGAAAATGAATATCATAAAGATCGAAAGAATTACCTGTGCACTTATTTGGTATAGATTTCAATGTATAAAAGTGCTCCATATCATACTTCCATTGGGGGAATCCCAGAGTAGAGGGAGACGAAGGAATGATCTTTGATGGGCCACCAAAATTAAAATATATTATGTACATCTTACAAACACGCGTGCATTAAGCAAGAGGCATTGGCGTTTTAGGCTTGCCACGAGGCCGTTGAAGCAGTACTTCGAGGTCAGATCTTGTCTGAGTGATTTTAATTTTTTTTTTTTTTTTTTTTTTTTTGGTCTTTTCGGGAAATTCAATAACTTGCAATAATAATGTACCTGCAGCTTACGCGATGGAAAATTATAAGTTATTAACGCATCGTTTTTTAAAGAGACAAATCAACGTTATCGAAGTCGTGATTTCGACAAGTTGTTGGATCTCATCACCTTTGGCTTCAACTCTCGACAGCTATATACAAGCATAACGTGAAATTTTTTGATCCACGTGGTGTAACATTTCAGCTAACCGAAGCTGTATTGTATTTGGGCGCGTGTATATTGTAGAGTATAGGGAAAGTGAGTGATGATGTTTCAAGCAAATTTTAATGGGTCTATAATATACTGTCGTGAATGCAAAGTTTTTATTTAATTTTTTTTTTCTGGTAAATTTTTAAAACAATACAAATCGAATCATTTGGCGGAGCGATATTGACGACTACTCAGTAAAAGAACTGAAAAATTAAAAAATAATTGTGATTATAAGATTTAAAAGAAAAACAGATGGTTTGAGGCGTCATGAAACTTCATTACGCGTAACACAAGTGCTTACATCCGCGTGTGTAGTGTATCGTTAATTGGTACGATTGACGCAAATCGACGTATTTCAAGATATAAAGTGCGAAGTACTTATAGCGAGATACGACGTGAGAGTTTGCTGTGGTTGTTTGTACTTTTACTGGCCTCGTAAACAAAAGCTTATACGTATTTATACAGACACACAAAGCTTCTTTGCCCCGAAACGAAGGGAATAATCAAAATAACGTCCCAAATAACGTTCGAAATCACAAATGTACATATACACAAATACCTACTCGTGTAAAAACGGGATTGAGTGAAAAATGTTGTTACCGTCACGGAAAAGCAATATATATATACTTACTTGGAGAAAAAGAGGCGAGTAAAGGGAGAAGAAAGAGAAAAAAAACAAGTATTGGTCAGCGAGATTTAGCAAAGTTTTATTATTTGTTCTTCCCTCCCAAATTTGCAACTCACGCGGCAAAGTGGCAAATATATGTGTACGCGCGCAATGCATGCATGTGTGTGTGTGTACATGTACATGAACATACACGCGGACGGAAAGTATAAAGGGTGTGCGGCGCGGGGGTGGAAACGAGAAAGGCTGCGGTGTCGTCACTCTTTCTCTCGGCTCGATCGGCCGACTCGGCTCCTCCACTCTCTGCTTTTTTTTTTTCTGCGCTGAGCACAACGGAGCGCGGAGTTTCATGCGCAGCAGCATCATCACAGCGATCGGCCAGTTTAGTTGCTCTGCACTTGCCTTGGAGGGCACACAAATACAATATATACATATGTATATACTTTATACGTAGAATATATATATACGTTTATTTTGCGTCGCTTCGTAGGTGGATGGTATTATTGTTGTTGTACACATTAAGTACGTGCTTTGTGCTATTATTGCAGTTACATTATTCGTTTTACATGAATTTCATCGTCTATAGTGCAACACTGTCATAATACCACAGTGTCCAGGTGTACTTCCATTTAGTACTTGTTGGAGCATAACAGTGTTTTTGTGCCTCTGATTACAGTCATATCCGTGTGCACGTATATATTAGGCACGTATGCTTAGTTTTCTTTCATTTACCTACATATTATACATAAAAAAATTGTGTTGACCGTAAAAAAAAGCAGATAAGTCCCTGCTGCTTGGTAGTTTGTCGCTGCTGCCGAAGCTGCAAAGGTTCGTTTGATATTTTTACTGTGACATCTATTCTATATATATATATACGTACGCGGTGGGAGTTGGCTGTTGCGTTATACTTTTGTATTCGTTTAATTGTTTTATTTTTCCTTTCATCAAGAACTGTCAAGTCAAGGTAGTTTGATATCGATGCACATAAATACATACACTTTCAATGCCTCGGTATATTCGTCTCGAGTGCGCAATAAGTAGGTATACTTATACACGAGTAGGTAACTAGATACATCCAATATTATAATATATGTATACGATGGATATATTAGAGCTTATTTTGTCACCCGCGCACACACTATCTATTTATACGATTATTTGTTTTTTTTTTTGTTTTTTTTTTTTTAATAGTCTTGACTATATACCCTATAGGTAAAAACTTATATTCGTACTTACAATCAAGTCTCACAGGGTGGTCATGTCCGCTTTTTTTTTTTTTTTTTTCTCTCGTCTCCCCAACACTAATTTACCAAGAGCAAGTAAAAACAGTGTGCTAAGACAATGCAGTAGAGCCAAGCTCGCGTGGGAGTGTATATATATTTATATATTTGTACGTGCTGGGCTATTTGGAGAAATACTTTTCACCAACACCCTCTTGACTCCCTCCATAAGTCAAGCTTCACGGGGTTGTTGAAGCTCATCGCATCGCAACCATCCATTGTTTAATAGTCCAAGGGAAACAACAATCAACAATCAAAACTCGTGGGAAAAAAAAACGAAAGAAACTAGATGTTTCCTGATATATTCCTTTGTTGTCTTATCTTTTGGAATGTTGAAATTGTCGTGTTCTACGATAGGTATAGGTATATACACCTTATATTGTAATCACAAGCATCACACACTAGTATATATATATATATTATGGAGTGTAAAATTAAATCTTCGTTGACAGCAGAGTGGTATATATAAGTATATAGGTTGTACGTTGCGCACACACACACATATATATGTATGTATATATGTATATACCTACCCAAGTTAGACGCTGCAGTCTTCTCCTCTCTCTGGCATCGTTAACGTTTATAGGTGATGTATATGTATATGTGTGTGTGTGTTCGCGCCTGCAGTGCAAAACTACATGTGCAAGACCTACAAACGCAGAGAGACGGAGAATCCGTTTTTTTATTGTATATAATATGTGTACATAGTTACCTTGTATAATATATTATATTTATACACCGGATGCATCGCTGAAAGAAAAGGAAATAATCGTTGGAGTTGTACAACTAATTGGTAAAATTACGGTCGCGGTAAAATTTCCTAGAATGGATTCTGCACCTCTGCACAATTCGAGCCAATGTAAGCACACCAGCTGAGCTTGCCAATTTGCTTTACGAGCGTTGGGGTGTATATACCTGTAAAGCTCCAAATTGCTCCGATATAATATAATATATAGGTTGCGTGTGCGCGCCAGCGCCTCACTTCACTCGGTTATATTGATAAATCTCTTTTACACGCGCGCGACCTGATGCCTTTTAAACTTGCATCGCGTCAACGTTGCTATACCTACAGTGCTTCAACAGTGTTAATTAACGCGAATTATTTAACGAGTTGTGTGTATACCTGCTTGTTCGACTAGGTAACGAGGAATAACCTCACGGGCACAAAACATCATGTATATTGTCTACCGGAGGGTACATCAAAGCATGTGTACCTACTTTTAAACAAAAATGATGAGTGTGATTCCACCTGGTCGTCGACAAAAACATATTGAGCGTGCGATGAACAAAGTGTTAAATCATCAGCTGATTGGTTTAAAGGTGAGACAATGACGGGACCCAAAATAAGAGTCGTTCTCCACCGACTTCTTGAAACGTGTGTCGGTGGAGACGAGCGTAGTTTGTAGATGTTTTTGTTCTCTCCGCAGTTAGCAAGGTTTGTTACATTGTGGTAAGTAATAGTAGGTACCTATAACCAAAAGAGGTGTGCGCGTTGAAGCTCTCTTTTTCTGTGTCACGTCCGCCAATCCGAGTCTTTCTTTTTTTTTTCGCGCATTCCTGTATACTTACGTACAGAGAGGAGAAACTTGATTTTGCTCTCGAAAGAAATGTTATCAAATTTAAGATGATTTTTGTTTTTTTTTTTTTTTTTTGTTTAACCACGGGATGAAACTTAGCGAAATTGGGAATCTTTTCCGGGCGATTCTTACATGCGGCTGTGAAAAGTCGCGGAGTTCCGGGGCGCGTTTGCGGAGAGAACAAAGGAAGACACACACGTACACAGGTATGTGGCGCACAAATAATATAATATATCTTCGTACATGTAGGTGTGCTGCAACTGTACCATCTGCGCGCAAACCTACTCTTTCTTTTCTTCCTCTCACTTTTTCGACCTTATACTTATGTAGTGTGTTACAGTCACATAGTATATAAGTACAATAGTATAAAAAAAGTAGTAAAATAATATTTTGATATTCATAATGTGACTTTAAATGTTCAAGATTCGTATTTTATTGTTATTGATGCTTCACGTATTTTTTTTTTTTTTTTACTGCTTTCATTTTGCAATGAGGAATAAGGTTCGAGAAATCATTTCAGCGGAAATGATGTTTCCATCCTATTGTCGGTTATCCGAGTGATGTAATTGTTTTTATCTCCAAGTGTTTCATAAACGACTCGGTCATGCGCAAACGACTACAAGATCTTGTTCCTTTTTTTCAAGTGCGTATTGGCATCGTTATTTTTTTTATTTACTTCATCCGAGACCCGATAAGTACACGTAAATACATGTACAGTTGTAGAAAGTAAAGTAAACGAGTGCCTTGCACGAAGCTCCCGTGTGCGTATAGGTATAGACGATACATACGTATACGAAATAATTTATTGAGCTTTCCAATTGTAGGCGTGTATGATTTATGCATAGTGACGATACAAATGAACTGATGAATCGGGTACGTGATCGTTTCGGGTGAGCACACGCGTCCCCGATGCTAAACACATTTATGTTCTCAATAATATGCCCTTACGTATACTTTCTGTTTTCTGTTACACTGTCGGAAGCGCCGATTAGATATACATACGTATAAATCGCGCGTCAACTGCACTTTGTGTCATTTGTCATTTTCATATGATAAACTTTTATCGCAACCGACTGTTATGCAGTTGTTCGTTCTGTTATACCGTATTCGATGTGCCAAAACATGTTGATACAAGTTTTCATGGTTAAATTTTTTTTTTTTTTTTTTTTTCTGATAGGCCATTTTTCTGTCGGGTAAATCTACAAGTGTTGTAGAACATGAACACTTGGCCTTGAAACTAAATTCATTAACGCGTAACGTCTAAACAATACATCACGGCTTGTACAACCGCTCGCTTAAATGCTTTTCTTAATTAAAATCAGGTGTAAAAAGATCATAAATAATTTTACCTGGTGTTGATTACATTTTTACATGTTGATTTTTTTTCACTCTACAGTAAGAACTTCAAGTATAAACAATAAGAAATCAATTTTACTGTTTTCTTCGATATTTTCGACTAATTTATTTAACTGAATTTTTTATTTGTGTTACGTGGGAAAAAAACATATCGTACGTAACACTTGTTTTAATTTTCGATGATTTCATTCAGTGTGATTTCATATTTACCGTTTGCAAATAAAATTGCGTAAAATGAAGCAATAGTATGTAGCACACAATCTTAATAGGCGATGATTCAGGTGTCCGCAGAATTTATTAAAAAAAAAAAAAAAAAACTATTTAAAAGGGATTTTTAAATATATTTTAATCATTTACTATCACGAAAACTATTGCTTAGCTATGTTATTCAATTCAAAAAAAAACGTAATAAAGTATTAAATTGATATTTAAATTGTAGGTACAGTGCCTTATTTCTTTTCTTTGTATTTCACTTTAACGGAGCTGGTAATTAAATTTTTTTTCTGGAGAACGTGGCTTTGAGGATAAAAAAAGAGTACTGTTTTATAATTGATGATTTAAAAAAATTGTTGACCCCTTACAAAAACCAGATTTTTAACATTCGCAAACTCGGGGTACTTCGTGAGTAAAAATAAATTTTCTACAATTTGTAAGACTCTTGGGTATTGTAAATTAAATGAAGGAAAAAAACTGCAGTATGTATTAAATATTGATTCAATTTAAAATAGATTCTAATGTTCTGAATGTATTATTTTGTTAAATAAATAATTTTCAGGCCAAACGGTGCGTGAAAAAAAAAAAAAATAAATAAATAAAAAAATAAACACGTAAAGAATGATGTGCAATCATCCATAGAAAGGCGAGGAATTCTTTTGCAGAACTTTTCCGTACGTGACTTTAACACATAAAATATTTTGAAAATTGTCCAAGATTAAATTTAATGAATGGAAACAACTCACTTTAACCGCTAATTCGTGTTTTCTGATGGATGCTATGTTTTAATAGTATCAACAATTTTTCACGCGAAATAATATTTCTATCAGCACCTATATTTTTGATGAGACAAAATAAAAATACTGTACAAAAAGAAAGCAAAAAAACTGCGGTTCGTTTCACCTCGCAAAGCCAGAATCGACATTCTAAAAAAAGGCTATAAGTAAGCCGAAGAGAGAACAAAACGAGCAACGCGCGTGCCAAAGTTACACGTGTCACCTATATACATATAAGTACGTATAAGCAAGGCGTTTGCAACAATATTTATACACAGCGAAAAAATGGTATATTATATCTTAAACGCAATCATACGAGGATTCATCTTTCCCATGTACAATCTCGTCCTCTGCACAAGAGCAAACGCAAGGCATTTCAATGCGCATATTAAAAATAACACTCTCGCCCTATCTAATCGATTATCCATATACTTGCGTATTTACATTTGCGCTCCTTCTGCAGGTGGGTAACTGGGTATACGCTTCCACTCGAAACGCACAACACGACAAACCAGATGTGCGGAAGCTGACGCTGTGTGTTATACAACCATAAAGCGATTGCATCTCTCCGTGATCATAATATGTACACCACATTGTATTTATTTTAATAAATTTAAAAAAAAAAAGAGGGCGGGAGTGGATCGGGTAAAGAAGTCGCGTGACATACCGATCTTCCCTCCCCTACGTATTGATTCTTTTCTTTTTTTTTCTTTTTTTTGTTTGTCGCTTCATTTACCTATCATTACTGCGCTCGAGCCTTTTTCAAGAAGCGCCACCGCCGCGTTTGACGTACACTTATATACTCGGTCATTTCATTCACCCCGACGAGAGCTGGCAACGTACACTCGCTCTTGGTGTACCGAATCAATATTGCAATTTGAACCACAACCAGAGTAGTTGAATTTTTTTTTTTTTTTTAAGATATAGGAGAGGTTTTTCCGCTCATCAGCCAACTCCCAAGTCACGCGTGTGGCCCCCTCTACTATTATTATTATTGAATGAAAAATAATTTAAAAAACAAATCGCAACTAACACTGAGGGTTTTCCATTGTTTGCAGCGAATCCGTGCAGCTGATGCATCACCACCACAGCCTGCACATTTATATACCTGCGTATAAGGTACATATGCGTAAGGAGATAGTATGAAAAATTAAGCCGATAAAATCGTAGCAACGCATAAGAGGTGGAGAAAGAGTCGAGCCACGGAAGAATATCGAGAAGAAGCCGCAAGAATTTCCCGCGCAAAGACAAAAACTCGATTGTTATTGTTTGTTGCGGCTCGTGCAGGGGCGCTTGCACTCTATATACACATCACGTGTGTCATGCGAATAAGCGGCTCTGGCGAAGAAGATGGCACGAGCTCAACCAATGCCGGCGCGATCGTCAACAACGCCTGCATCGTCCGGCGCACCTGAGCCCCGTCACCACCACCACCACGAGGGTCAAACGGTCGGCCCCGGCACGCTACTCGGCCGCGTGTCTTGCTTCATCGCGCGGCTCTTTGACCGGCCCTCCGCACGGGAGGGCTCGACGAGTTTTTACGATGATCGGTATCACCGGCTGTTCAAAGAGGGCATCATCGCGGGAGGAGGGATGGACGAGTCGTCGGACGAGGAGGGACGATCGGTAGCGTCGCAAACGAGCGCCGTTGCCGCGGCTGAGCTCGATGATGGCCGGGAGGAGCAGGTCGAACAAGACGACGAGCCGTCGAGTCTGAGGATCGGCGAGATCAAGAACTTTCTCGTTTGGCACGTTGGCCGCATCGTGCTCTGGGAGGATACCAAGCACACCTTCATCCACCTGCTCGCCTTCAACGTCATATTCTGGTGTGTCTTCTTTTCTTCTACTTCTCATTTCTATTGGGGCTTTTTTGTTTTGTTCAATCATTCGTGGGACCATTGGTACTTGTATCGAGGGTACGTGTAGTAGAATCGATCGGAGATCGGTATATCTCGAGGGGGAGTTTTGTCAATAAAAAAAAAAAAAAAAAAAAAAATAGGGGGTGAATAAAAGCCCGCCGAGTCATCGGGAAAAAGAGCGACATCGCGTCAGTCCCTACGTCTCGAGTATGACTGTCCACATTTCTTAACTGTACTCGATGTACGCAAATGCGCGCTTCCGCGATGGCCCGATCGAAAACACCCGATATTATAATTATACCTCAGCGATTTCGACGAGCACGTGTGTATATATTTATTCATCCGGTCGCTGCATTATTGCTTAGCGCTCGCACTTAGACCGTTCGTTTGTGTGTGTATACTTTATTATGTACTCGTACGAAATTCAATGACACGAGAATTCATCGTAGGCTTTCCCCTTGTTTGTTTAATTATTTATTCATAGTCCAGATTTTTACGAGTCCCGTTAATACATCCCTCCTCCCTTTCCGTTCGTTCCTGGTCCTGATCAATAACCAGGAACTATTTTTGTTCTTCTTCTCTCGGAATAAAAGCTCGGGTTATCGCGCAGAGAAGAAAAAAATAGATACATGTGCGTTGGCTCGAGCTCGAGGTTGTCCTTGAATCTTGAATTGCTCTTGTATACTGTATACGTACAGGTTTCACGCGCGCACAAGTGTATAATAACAACATATCCAAGGGGATAATCACTTCCCGAATTCAACAGCGTGTGCGCGTTGCTGTTTACGAGAAGGAGACGAGTTGCCATAAAACGCTTTGACCGCAGTTTTTGTTGTTTTAGTTTTTTTTATCATCGGTACATTTTTGCTGGTAAAATTCGACGACCGTGTGAAAACATCTCGTTTACATACGTTTTTCGCGTCCTGAAGCTTGACGTATACGAGTAAAGAAAACGTCAATTGCAATTTCTTTTTTCCCTCCCTCGAAGACGTAGGTGCGAAGAGCGTCAGAGTTCTCGATTTTTTTTTTTTTTTTTTTCTGCAAGGGAGGTATACAAAAGAAAAAAGACAAACAAGCGTGTGAATGTGTATATTCGCGAGACGTTTTCAAGTCAGCAAAACTCAACAGTAACACAATAAAAGCCTCGCTTAACGCTTTTTTTTTTTTTTTTTTTTTTCCCCAACATTTTTACAATTTCAATGGTACCGATTTTCATTGTTCACAGGAGTACGGTATTGTTCCATTTGCGAGGTATCACGGCGGTCTGCAGTGCTGCTGTGATATTTAGTATTTCCAGCATCGCTGTCATGGAACCGCAAAGTGATCACAAAAAAGCTCAGTGAGTACAACTTTGCCACACCGCGTTATACCGATTTCCGTGATTTTTGGAGCAAAACTTTATTTTTTCCCTCTCCTTGTCTCCAGGTTCACACTAAAATACAACCGGTTCGAGAAAGACGTGGAACATGCCACGAAAGAACTACAACTGATGGTCGAGGAAGTTAATCGAGAGTGCCCGACGATGGTGACACTCTCTCTCTCTCTCTCTTTCTCCCTTGAATTCCATGGTGTGGACCAATGCTAAAATGCTTTTCTTCGCTTTTTCTTTCAGTTCTTCCTACTCCTATTGATTCTTTTCGCATTCTCCGCCTTCGTCATACCGTGCATCAATCCTGTTTTTCTCGTCTACGTCTCGTTTACCAGCGTCTTCGTCGTGCCCCCGGTTTTCGTCTGGTTTTTTGGCTACCAACCATCAAACACAGGTATGGATACCTACGCTCGTTTGCTTACACGTTAATCATCACGCGTTATCGTAGAACAACGAGTAATCCGGGGTTGACCCGAAATTACAGAAAAGGATGGTGAAATATCGGAATTCCTACCAGAAGTAACGGAAGACAGTCTCCGAGTGTTGGACCGAGCCGGCGAAACTGGCGACTCGCCAGCCCCACCGAATTCAAACTCGGCGAATGGTAATTAACATTTTTTTTTTTTTTTTTTTTTTTTTTTGTACATGTACAATTACGGTTTGAGAAAAATGTGCAACACTAAAAAATCTGTTTAGATAAAACTGGGCTGAGTCTTTGTTTGACTTTCCATGTGTGTTAACATTTTTTTTTTTTTTTTTTTTTTGTTTTTGTTTTTTCATAAATAAACATACTCCTGAAAGGAAAAACGTTTTTTTCTTTTCTTTCCAATCTATAGGTAACAGTACGTCGGATAAACTGGACGAGGAGGAGCTCGTGGGCTTGAAGATGCCCTCCCACGACGAAGCCGAAGAAGACAGCGCGGACGATCTGTCGGACGATATAGAGATCCAGTCTTTCGACGACACCGACGCTTTGTCCAGGAAAAATCGGCGCATCGGTGAGGAAGACGAAGATAGCTCGTCCGACAGCAGCGACGTTGATGCATATGACGATGAGGAGGAAGAGGAGGAGGAAAGCGAGGCGCTCCAAGACATGGTACGGAAGAAAGCCACGAAGCTCGACAAGAACAGTAAGCATCTTGACTTGGACAGAAGCGACAACAGTAGCGACGACGACTTTGAGATTATAGAAATCGAGGAATTGAAAAACGTTTGAGCAATCTTTTCGTTATTTTTCAATAATAAAAGTAATCAAGTAAGGAAATTAAATCAACAATACAATTATAGAATTGTAAGAGGGTAAAAAAGAGAGCAACAAGTAAGTTGTGTCTGTTGCGATCATAAAAAATGAAAACATGATAAAATATAAATCAATCAATAAAAGGGTAAATGAAAAAAGTTATTGACATAAACAAAAACAGTTCTGCCTGCGTCGAGTTTCAGATGAAACCAATCATTTTACTCATATATATCACCGTGTACCTGGCTTTTTTCGACATCCATTGCCTGTCTTTGCTTTTGCAATGGCCTTCTTAAAGTGCGCGCGTATATGTCTGTGCTTACGACAAGTACACATACATGTTGTTGTGTTGTTTAACGCTAAAAGCATTTTCCTTCCATTCTCAACCAAAATAACTAAGCGCAAAACACTTTATTGCGTGATTGCACTTCTCTTTGGCGTGTAACTCATTTACGATAACAACATTTGATTCGTCGTGCACTTATTTCTTTATTACTCCGTTCGTGCTTTTACCATGTTTTGTTTTGTATAGCCATAACGTCATTTTTACTTGTAAAGTTTTAAACACACAAAACGACGAAAATGGACGTATTGATTTTTTTTAACCTCGATATTGTTGTTACATGAATTTGTTAAACGGATTTGCAAATTATATGTTTAAGTGCGATATTAATTGAGACACATCAACTTATTCTGCTCAAGCGAAAGTGAACATGAGATACTTATTTGTTTTTCTGCAGCGAGTAGTATTTACCAGATACCGATAGATAAAATTTATTTATTTATGTATAAATATTTACGATATCTATGAGTCACACGTAGGTAGTATGATTGTATTTAATAATTTTAAGAAGTACTCTGTACTCTTCTTTCAAGCGATTAAGTACAAATGCCAGAAAACTGCAGTTTTACGTGTTAAACAAGAGCGTTATGTGAGCAAAAAAAAAAAATAAACAGAAAAACTTAAGGATTTGTTTGAATAAAGAACAATTACTTAAAAAGCATATTCATGATTTTTGATTCCAGTTAAATAACAACCGTCTAACGTTATGTTTTTTAAAATAACTTTTTTATTTTGTTCACTATGTAAATCAACAGTTAATATTTACATATCCCTTAGAACTGTGAATAAAAAATCTGTCTCGAAAGTATAAGGAATATAAACAGTCTCTAAATTTGATAAACTTTTTTTTTTTTTTTTTATACTCAGTTTCAACGAAAAACGATCAATTGTTTTTTACTGACTCATTCATATCCTCAACCGTTGACTGTATAGATTCTTGAGAATCTTCTAAATCATTTGAAATTTGACTATTAGTGACTGGCTGAGCATTTTTACGTTCAGGCAAAACTTGTAAAAAGGCTTCCTGCCAGGTTTTACCCTCGGCAACCCTCAATATTATTTCAAAAACTGAAAAAGCAAGTATTTTGTACTGTTTGAAAAAAAAAAATTTGCCAAAATTAAAAGTACTTTATTGTACTTACCATGATCGACGGTTAATACTTTTCTTGCTTTCATCTGCAAAAATTTATCAAGAGGCAGTCTGCCATGTTTTACATCTTTTTCGACAGCTAATTTATGGCACAGACCCTAAACAATACATTAATATTAACAACAAACTTTAAAAATAAAGAACTTTGTGTGAAAATGACTCACCTTATGTTGATTATGATCAACAAGTCCACCAATGACGTACACATGGTCGTGATTTAAGTCTTCTATAACATTTTCCGATTCACTTGTCAAGTATACAATTTTCTCTTTTGGAAAAACACTCAAATAATGTTTTTCATAGAATAACACCTATCACGTGAAATTAAAGGTGAATGGAATAGAAATCACGTAAAATTATCCACAGTTGTACTTACATCCCAATTCTCGTAACCGTTATGTTTTTTCATTTCTACCAAAGATTTTCCTTCAAAACTACTTAGAGAAAATTGCAAGGGTGCAATAGCTCGCCTGTTCAAAGTGTAACATCTCAAAATCTGTTTGATCAATTTAGCAATGTCTTTGCCTATCATATAGTCATCAAAGGACAAATCAATTGTTACGTTGAGTTTGCATGGACTATCTGACATTGTACACGTTTTTAGATACTTTCTGGATGGGCCGCAATCGAGATTATTTGCTTTAGCAATGGCTCTTTTTTCTCTTGCCTTGGCCCTTTCTTTTAACCTGCAAATAATGCAAGAGATAAAAAAATGTTTTCCAACTGTTTCGAAAATCTGTCGTTCTTTATTATTATTATACCTCTTTTCTGGCTTTATTTTCAACCATTTTTCTAATTTCTTTATTTTTTTAAGTTGACGTTTACTCAATGTTGGCTCCTGTCCTTTGGCTTGTTCTGCATCCAAAGTAACTTTTTCTACTTTTTCAGGCTCTTCGACATGGGGTATCGTATTTTCAATACAACTTTCCATTTTTCACAAAATATTCACAATTATTATAAATAAATAAAACATGTATTTACAAACAGGATAACACTACAAATATGTTAACTGTCACTCTTCATGGTGCTTATGGACAACATAACCTGTAAAATGTATAAACCCCCTCCGCCGCTCATAAATTATCTTCTGCTATTGGCGCTCAGAAATTTGAAATATTTTAATTGATTGTCTGCGTAAAAACACTACAAGGTGAATTTGGTTTTATATATTATCAACAAAAATGCATAATTTCGTAATAAAATTTATTGAAAACATAACACAATTACAAAATACAAGCCAACGAATAAATAATTAATATAACTTTTTAGGAAAACCCTGATTATCCAACAGATGATTTTCAGAATCTAAAACTTGTTTTGGTCCAGTACCTACACGCGTATGAATAACATACTTTAATTTTCCAAGAGGCTGTTTTTCTATGTTTATTTTTTTCAACAGTTCCTTAAACAAAATGTTTAAATTACAATCTCCAACGCCACACAAACGGTATTGATTTTTAATACTTACTGAGGAAGCCGAGGCACCCGGTAGAGATTTTCCAATTTGATCTTTCGTTTGACGATCGTCAACAAATAGGAAATAATTATTGATTACGGCATATAATTCGCAAACATCTTTTTCCAAAACAAATAATGTTGCGTTTGGACCAGCATCAAATGTATAGGCAGCCTAAAAATATTTTGGAAGACAGACGAAATTTAGCCTAAGTGCTTTTAGCGAGATTTAAATTTCAACCCACCTTTATTTCACCGTGAGCTGTATTGTATGCATGCACAAGTTCAATTATGCGATGAGAGGTATCATTCATGTAGAAACACGGAGGATAAGCAGCTGCACAAGCTGCATGCATTTCATTGGAGTCTTTCATAGTCAATTCGGCAAATTTTTCAAAATTTCGATCCTGAATGGCCTCTTGCATTTGTTCTATTCTCAGAGGAACAGTATTTTCAGCCCTATACTTGAGAAATGGCGATGTATGGTAACATCTTTTCATTCCTTCAGAACTGGATACTTTTTTCTTTGTATCATTTACAACTAATATCAAAATTCTCATGTCTGGCCAATGATTGGTATCAAAAACTTCTTTACTAATACTATCACTACCATCAATATTATCACCCATATACCATCTGACAAATCCTCCATAAATACTACGGCATGCCGAGCCAGAACCACATCGAGCTATGGCTGATATATCTCCCTTTTAAATGAAGGAAGAAAAATTATTACCAAAATTATGTTGCTAATTTGACATAATTTTTATTTTTCATCTCACCTGTACATTGAATAATTTTGCAAGAGCTACTGTTAGACAAGCATATCCAGCAGCACTAGATGCTAAACCTGCAGAAGTAGGAAAATTGTTTTCTGAACAAATGTGAACTTTCCAATTTTCTTGTTTATCTGGCAATTGGGATCTTTTTCTCACTGCAAGTAACCGTAATTATTTACTTGTATTTTCAATTAAATGGTAAGTTATATTGAAACAAATGTATTAGATTACCTTCTCTTAGGCAATTTTGTAGCCTTGCATTTTCTATTGACTCCTCACTGAAATGGAAGGTAGTACTTAATATTTGATTTAAAATAAAAATCATGATGGAAAAGTAATGTGTGCTACCATCCATTCAACCATATTTTATCTTGTTCAAAGTCTGGGCTAATCATAACAGTTGTCTTGGCACACAACTGGAATCAAATGTGCAGTACATTTATGTATATGAATTCGTTCGTTTAATTTGCTAGAAGAATATTAACTCACATGCTCTGTATCCAAGGTTGCACTGAGTGAATCATTAATTGGAAGTATCAACTCTTCATTTCTTTTTCCCCCTGAAAAATAAGTTTTATTAACATAAAATTATAACTTGAATTTTTGCACAGAATTTCTTTTTTAACCAATTAGACTCTTATACCTACAAAACACACTGGTCAGTAATTTAAAGGATAATCCTTGGACAATATAAATTTCTCGAAATACATTTAAAAAAATTCTTTCTGTTTTTACACTCTTAGACAGTTAATATTTTTATTAAATAAATTAAAATTTTAAATGTACCGTTAACTCTAAATGTTTTCAAATGCACAGAGTAAATGAAAATATTATTTTCGAAACATTTCTCAAAATCAACATTTTCAGATACTTTAAAGTTATGAATAGGTAATTCGACTTGTCAAATACAATTAACATATGTGTATAAGGAATGTGCCAGATAACTGTAAATTCGTACAAGTTGACCAACATTTCCAATACTACCGATTTCACCAGTAAATTAAATTTAAAAAAAAATCCAGTTTATCTGAGACAAAATATACCGGAACACAGTAAGTAGTAATATTTGTAAAACGTCACGTTACTTACAATACTTAATAACTGCAAGGTTTACAGGAGCAACAAAGGTGACGCGCTCCATTTTAAAAAGATCCTGTGCGACGTGTCGCCTTGCCTCGACGAATGATCGAGCTCATCGAGGCGTGCAGTTTTTTTGCGCACTCAATTCATATACACATATATATGAGCAGACGACACAAAGGTATATATAAGTATACTGTATAACATATATTGGTAGAACGACAGAATTTAAATTTTTGACTCTGACATACAGATGTAAATATGCTTATTTATGATGATTGATGCTCTGTGAGAGCTGAATTTTTTTTCTTTCTCTGTAATAATACTATAGGAATCAAACAATATTGTATATGATATTCATATTATGACAATAAATTTAATGCAATGGGCGTTTCATCATAGCAAAAATCGTATCAAACATTTAAATATCATTCATGAGTATCTGTCGTTACAACTCATTTATACGTACAGAAATTGTTATTTTAAAAATAATGTATTTGTTCGAATAACAATATGGTAGAAGACAATCATATCGAGTATAATAAAAGTATATGTATTATGTGTTCTGTACAGAAAAAGAAAGAGTTAAAGATCGATCATATTTCAAGCGACAGTTACGGTGCTCCAAAATTTAAATAACAAATAATTCAAAGAATATAACTTCTCGGCAATGCGTCACATAAGTAAAATCATCTATTCAGCTCATCAGATAATTCAACCTATTACAATATATATACATGACTCAACTTTGGAGGTTATAACTATCACCAACGCATGAGAATTACTTTAGACCTTAGAAGCAAAATAAAGGTTTATCCATATAATCAGTAGTACAGTCTATATATATATAGGTACAGTCTTGTTTATTTATTTCATCCATGAAAGAGCTGCGAGTGCTGCAAGTGTAAACTCCCGAATCGAAGCATGAGTATATATAGGATAGGCGGCATTATATAGGTGATAGATGTACAGAAGTGCAGGTTTTGTGACAGGCGGCAGACGGGCAGACCGCAGTCTTGACTCAATTGTTTGCAATAAATTGCAGTCTGCATTTGTCTGCATTACTCCGCACCCACACTGTATATAACTTATTCTACAGCAGAGAGATGAGTCTACTCATGTCTGTTCCACAGTAATTAACAAGAAAACAAGTCAGTTCTGTTGAGTAGGTACTAAGTATTTGAGCTGACGACACACGATAGGTATACACACATAAGTAATTTATTATATATAGGTATATTCACATTACAATTTCATCCATCGGGTCTTCCGCCAGAAGGGTACATGCAGAAATACCGACCCTGCGGGCCCTGCCGTACCGACGGTTAATTCGTTGCAGGTATAACTATATGTGTGGAATAGTTCAAAATCGCAACGCTAGATGACGTTGGATTGAGGGAACTCAACGTACTGACGTACCGACGGTCGACAACGTGTAGGGAAGATACCTTTGACGGGTAAATAAGATAAGCGTTAATACTGCAGGGCCCGTGTTTTTGGATTTGTACCGACTGTAACATAGTGATTTCCTTCTGGCGGAAGACCCTAGGCATAATATATAGCACTAAAATCTAGGGTTTTTTTCCAAGACGATTTCCCCTAGGCAAATAGTTTCCAAAAATCACAACGCTAGATGGCGCTGACAACAAAACGAGTAGGCTATATAGTCTACTACTGTAAAACTGACTATACCCGACCTTGTGCAGCATTCCAACAATGTTTCTTCTCCTTTTGCTGTACCAGACACGACAGAAAGCAAAACTCTTTCTTTCTTACTCCCTCTCGCCGACGACTTTGTGTTCGAGAGAGAGCTGCAGAGCTGAGCTCTTTTCGCGCGACTTCCCCTTTCCTTCTCCTCCTCGCCCTTCTTCGTTTCGTCGTCGTCGCCCCGCCGCCGTCGGTCGCGCGCCACAACTGCGCGGCTCCTTTTTCGCAATTCGCGGTCGCGCAACGCAACTATATACCTCACTACTACTCTGGCAGAGTTAGTTAATTCAGTTTGCCGTTGAGTGCGTGTGTGTTTACATTATTATAGAAATAAATATACAGTAACCCTACGAATACGGATACATATATCAATAAACGACCCTACGACGACGGCGAGTCGGTGAGTACAGGAGTAAGTTAGCCGTGCAGCCCTGCTTCGCTACGCGAAGTAGCGGAAAAGCTGCACACACGAGTGAGCAGCGTGTGTCATCATCATCATCATCATCATCATCATCGCTCGTCGTCGTCGTCGTCGTCGTCGTCGTCGTCATCATCATCGTTTAAACGGGAAAACGGAGGCAAGCATCAGACTGATGTATAGAGAAAGAGTTTAGCGCTCTCTCTCGTTCTCTTGATATTCTTGGTTGTTCGAACACTACCAAAGTATACCGAACCGCTTGCTTTATTTCCGTCTCTTTCCACGTCTTTTCCTCCTGTGCTCCTCCTCCTCCTTCATAGTGCATACACCATGCGTGCCGTATCCAAGTGATTGTGTGCGAGTGTGTACGCGCGCGGGGAGAGCATCGTCCAGGACTGTTGCTGCAGCTTGTATAGCCTGCGTCTATTGACCTCGTGTGCAGTAGAAGAGGGTACGTAAAAGGCGTAAAAGCACGCCCATGTATTGTACGTAATGTGTATATAAAACACACCCATAATTTATGTGCACGTAGATTTTTGTTGATTTTTTTGTCTTTCCGCCCGCATCACGGGACCGGATGCAAAGATTCACGTTTCGGAGTTCGCACGTTATAAGTGGTCCCTCGTATATATATATGATGTGCCGTGTTGTCTGCCTCCTTTTTTTTTTTTTGTTTTGCAGCACATACACCTATACACTCTTCTTGGTATGGCCTCTTTTATTTTTCAATCAAGAGATCTGGTCGACTTAGTTTATTTAGTTGCTGTTTGTTACATCTGCACATTGTAGACATAAATAAAAAGAAAACTTGAACGAGAGTTGATGTAATTAATATTTTCATGATGTAGGACGTAAGTAGGGACTAGCTAAACTCTGGCAGAGAAAAGAGGACGTGTATAATAACGAATTGTATGTAATAATCATTTATATGTATATTTCAAATACATCTAACGAGTTTCTTCTCTCTCTCTCTCTCCTTCTAAAAACTAAGATCAAAATAACAATAAAAGTATAATTATAAAAATCACAATTGCTGCACCACACACGACCTTGAGACATTTGGATTAGGGTACCCCCTCCCCAAACACACCCCTCTCTTGCCCCTATTGCTGCGCGCGGAGAGGATATGGCGAGGCAATAGTGATTGTCCCTTTAAACATATTTGTAAACAAATCGCTTTTTTGCTTCCTGTGCTGACTGCAGCTCTGCATACCTAAAGTATACCGCTTACGACTCATCCACGTATCAAATTGTATCATCGTTAAATGAGGATACTTATAATGAATTGATGGTTCATTTAACGATTAAACACAATACATCGTGGGAAAGCTTCTCCGTACCCTATTTGCGTTGTCACTGAAATATTTATTAATTAGAAGAAATTTTTTTTTTTTTTTTTTTTTTTTTCAACTTTTTATCCGGCCAATTTCTTCTCAATGGCTGCTTCAAATGAAGAAAGAAAGAGCCGTTCGGTCACAAGAGATGACGTGTGTCGTGTGTTCACTCATGCTATGTACAATATACATGTGTACTTACTTTACTTACGTTACGTACCTACATGTTTATGTTGTATGTATAATNAAAAAGACGGGAACGTATCATTGTTAACGGATTTATATTGATGTAGGATACATGGTGTACATTGATTTTGTAAAGTTTGCTGTTTATTACAAACCAATGTAGAACATGTTTTTTACATTGACTTTTAGTTTTATTTATTTTTTTTTGTTACCTTATAAAAATCGTTATCCAACAAGTGCATACTTGGAAAAAAATCATGTATTATTTGAAGTTTAATGTTAAACTTGTGAAGTAATTGAAGAAATTTTTTTTCGACTCAAAGAGCAAAGCAACTTCTTTTTTTTGTTTTGTTTTTTTTTTCTTTTTAAAACGTATGTTTATTTAAAAAAGGCATGATGGATTCGTAACTGACATGAACTTAGATTGTTTCAAAGCTGCGATTCAAGCTAGGCCTAAGGTAAGCTGTACTTGACAATTTTTCAAATGTAACTTGACTTTCCAATTTCTTCTCAATGGCTGCTTCAAATGAAGAAAGAAAGAGCCGTTCGGTCACAAGAGATGACGTGTGTCGTGTGTTCACTCATGCTATGTACAATATACATGTGTACTTACTTTACTTACGTTACGTACCTACATGTTTATGTTGTATGTATAATATATTTGTGGTAGTGGTTACCGAGCAGCAGTAGCGATGGCGATTTTTTGACGTTTCCCTACTAAGTATTCGTCACGCCTTGACACAGTGTTTATTATTAATTTTCTTCTCCGTATCTCGTTCTTTGTGCGCTTGATTGTTTATTTTGAGAAACTCATGCCAGGCCTTTTTTATACAGCAAACACACCAATCTTAAGTAAATTCGTTTAAACATTTTTATTTCGTTGCTGAATGCATTGTTAAGCCGATTAATTCTCATTTTTAAAATTAACACGATAATTAATCAGTTACTATTATTATTGTTCATGTTGCAGCTAATTTAAGATGGCATTAAGAGATTTAGTGGAAGGTGACTGTGGGGGACCCAGTTCCCTAATGCGACTCACTTCCCACTTTGTCAAGGATCACGGCCTGAAAGATGAGGGTGTCAGAGATATATTTGGCTCTGCAAGTCCCTTTGAAACTGGAAATTCAGACCAGCTTGTCAAACAGTTTCTTGAGGAACAGTCTTCTGTCCATCCGCAAACTTTTAAGATGGAAAGTCTGCTTCACGAGATACGAGACATAGATCAGAGTCTATACCCACCAGTTACTGCCACTGGTATTGGTGAAGATTTGACAAACCAAGACACGTCTTGGGCCAACCAGTATCTACAATCTGGTGGACACTTTCAAGTAAATTTACATCTCATTACTTTTAATTTGATGATTTTTTAATTATTTACACCCAAAGTATATCACGTACTTTTAATTATCAAATAAATTTTTCAACAATCACTAAACATTAGATCAAATATTTTTCTGTTATTGAACTAAACTAACCATATCGATATCAATGTTGAATATATTTTTAATATGGCAAGTAGTATGTATATCAACTATATGAAATTGTTTAATAAGTTTTTAAAATTATATTTCTTCAAATAATTTGCTCTGCACTAATTTTTCAATAGCGTGTAGTAGTTGAAAATTAAGTTGACCCGTTAATTGTAAATTCTGTTACGTAATGTGCTGTTTAATGTATCAACATAGGAAAATCACAGAGATGATATTTGGAATGCCCATCCAGCAGTTTTGAATACCACAGTTGCCTTCCCAGGAGAGACCCGCGAGCTGGGCCTCAACCCTAAATGGGCTGAAGAATATTTAGAACAGAGCATCGATCACCCCGACGTTAATACGGACAGTTCAGACTATGCCTCTTCGAAATTCATGAAATTCATGAGAATAGAGGATAACGTGACCCATCCCAACCAGTCGAAAACAGAAAATGTAGATAACAAATGGGCTTCGGAATTCGTGGAAACCCAAAATACAAAGCCAGTCGAGGCGTCTGCTCAAGAAACTGCCCCAGCGGAACCTGATGGCGTTTTGAATGCCATCGACGAAATGAATACCGTTGCCGGCACTTGGGTCGACGAGTTCTCGCAAGACGGTCGTTCTCAAGGTAAGCATCGTATAATGCTCTCAGATTATCGAATTTTTTCGTTTGTTAAAGCTTATTTTTAAAATGACATATCTTTTTTAAATAGAATTAACATCAGATAACAGCAACTTAACAAGTGGTTGCTCCTACAGATATGCATTATAGACAATAATGAAAAAATCTCGAGACTAAAAAAATTTCTTAGTTTAATAAGACGTTATACAAGTATTTACCAAAAATAACGATACTCATTAGACAATAAAACAGAAAATATTTAATTTTTTAAGACAGCTGTACTGCAAAAAAGATATGCATTATAAAACGAAAAGAAAAAAGAAAAAAAAAAAAAGAATTCATTTAGANTTAATAAAAAAAAATCAATAAAAAGAAGTCGACGAAGCGGCAGGTTCGCTTCAACAAAGTCTTTATATTTTTGTATATGCTCAGATTTCAAAAAATACGAAGACGAGTTTTGGAATCAACTTCAGGGCGAATGGGAGAAAATATCCAAAACTGAGAACTTATCATCCAACCACCCATGGATATCCGAGTACGAGAATTTCTACGACCCCTTCAAGGAGTACTCGTTCACCGAAGAGAATCCTATGACGCGTTTGACCGATCCATTGTCGGAGGGCAAAAATAGACTAGAGTTAGGCGACCTGCCTGGAGCAGTGCTGTGCTTCGAAGCGGCCGCTAAGCAAGACGACAAAAATGCCGAAGCTTGGCTCCTTCTTGGTAAAACACAGGCTGAAAATGAGCAGGATCCGTTGGCCATATCAGCACTCAAACATTGTCTCACACTCGACCCAGCGAATCTTACGGCACTCATGGCACTTGCCGTTTCGTACACAAACGAGTCTTATCAAAGTCAGGCTTGCCTTACGCTCAAAGACTGGCTGCTCAAAAATGACAAATACAAGCACCTGACGTCCAGAAAACCGGCCAGCAAGCCGCCCTCGCAGATAGGCGTCTCCACAATTCTGTTTCAGTAAGTTTACATATTTACACGCACTTTTTTTAACAACGCGGCTCCCTAAGTCATAAATTCGATTTTTACTAGCATCAATAAATCACACGAGATGCATTGCAAAATTGTAAAAAAAGTATGTTATAGGAAGTTAAATAATTCGTGCCAAAAGAGCTGATTAATGGCTGTAAATTACTTATAATACAAGGATATCCCTAAAAAAAATTTTTATTAAACTATTTGTGAATCTTGATCATTTTAATGAGATTATTATAAATACTCGATACATTTAATTATTAAAATTAATTAAAACAAAAAGTTCCAAATAGTCGATTCGAACAATGCCGCAGTTAATATTTTCTGTTACTAAGTCCATATATTATAGTTATGCAATTGAAGTGATTAATGTTAGACACGTTCCTTCTTTTTAATTTTCTCTACAGCGATGTTCACGAAGAAGTTAAAGATTTATTTATACAAGCCGCTCGAATGCAGCCGCACGGCACAATTGACGCTGACGTCCAATGTGGGCTAGGCGTTTTATTAAATCTGTCAAGCGAATATGATAAAGCGGCAGATTGTTTCAAAGCTGCGATTCAAGCTAGGCCTAAGGTAAGCTGTACTTGACAATTTTTCAAATGTAACTTGACTTTTAAAACATCCTTTTTTTCAAATGAAACTCACACAGCTTAAATCTTGTGTGTCATGAAGCTTATTTTATTAAGAAACTTATTTTATTCATAATGTTACAGGATCCAATGCTATGGAACAGATTAGGAGCTATTTTGGCAAACAGTCAACGATCGGAAGAAGCAATAGAAGCTTACCATCAAGCACTCGAGCTCTCCCCCGGTTTTATTCGCGCTAGATATAACCTTGGCATTTCGTGCATCAATTTAAATGCCTACAAGTAAATATAATTATTATTTGTTTCAACATAATGAAATATTAATTAAAAATGTATTTCCTAACGGATTTTTGTATTTTTGTGATTTTGTATGGATAAATCATTCAAATCATTACAGGGAAGCTGGAGAGCATTTATTGACTGCGTTGAATCAACAAGCTGCGGGTAGAGATGCGTTTGGGGAACAAGCTCCAATGAGAGTAATGTCAGACACAATTTGGTCAACCCTGAGACTGGTTGTATCGCTAATGCACATGTACCATTTAAACGATGCTATAGACAATAGGTGAGTAATATTAATTAAATATTCATTTTTTTAATGTTAGTTTTATTTCTCTACTACATGTATTCACAATCTGGATAGTTATTTACACTTACATATATTACAAGTTTTGTTTAAATTATTTTCAATTCGAATTTTTATTTTTAATAACTATTTTTAATGTTTTTTTACAGGGATCTCGCCAGGTTGAATAAGGAGTTTGAAATAGAGTAAGGGAAGAAGCAATAAAAAATCATTAAGAAAAAAAAAAAAA